GAGGGGCGGGGCCTGTGGGAGGAGGGCAGAATGGGGAGGGGTGGGGCTTGTGGGAGGAGGGCAGGACCTGGGAGGGCAGGACGGGCCTGTGGGAGGAGGGCAGAATGGGGAGGGGTGGGGCTTGTGGGAGGAGGGCAGGACCTGGGAGGGCAGGACCTGGGAGGAGGAAGGGGTGGGGCCTGGGGGAGGAGGGCAGGACAGAGAGGAAGGGTGGGGCCTATGAGAGGATGGCGGGACCAGGGAGAGGGGTGGGACTGATGACCAGTGCAGGGCCTCAGCCAGGATTACTGGGTGAGATAAAACCAAAGTATGCCTCCTGGGCATTAGGATACTGCTATCAAAATACAGCTCCTGTTGGTGAGGAGGTGGGGACACTGGAACCCTGGAGCCTGCTGGTGAGGACAGAGTGCTAGGCGGAGAGCAGCCTACGGGGTCCTCAGATGTCTGGCAGCACTGCTGTCCCACCCAGCAGTACTCTGAAGAGTTGATACAGGTGTCCTACACCCACGTTTGTGGCGGCAGTATTCACAGTGGCCATAAGGGCAGTGAGGCCGGCAGGTGAGTGAAGAGCCCACGGTGGCTTGCCACGTGCCTTAGACTAGAGGGGATTCTGACAGGCTGCACTGGGAGGCGTCCTGAGGACTCTTGCTGAGCGACAGAAGCCAGGCACAGGACAGGTGTCAGGAGCTCCATTTGCATGAGGCACCTTGAGGGGCCCGGCTCATGGAGATGGGAAGCAGGAAGCAGGAGCCAGCATTTAAAGTGGGATAAGAGTTGGGTTTTGCCAGAAGAAAAGCTTGGGAGGTGGGTGGTGCTGATGCCCCGTTCTGGTGCTGACGAAATCAATGCCCSGGAACTGAACTGCGTGCATGTGACCCTTCGGAGGGCAGATTGCCTTATGTGCATTCAGCAGGAAAGCAAGGACAGTGCCTTCCGCAGTGGTGACCTCAGAACTCTGAACCTTCCCCTCCAACRTGGGTCACTTGAGAACAATGTATTCTGAATTATACTCATCTGCAACTGAGATTCCTATGGCTYAGCCTAGCACAATTAAGGTGATTAAACCTGAAAGGTGACTCAGACAGGAAAATAGAGTGTGTGCATAAGTGTGTATATACTAAYCTATTTTTAGCAAGAACTTGCCCCTGTCAAGCCTTAAGCCAATCCCATGCACCTGCGTTYTACAGAAGTGAAAAGCTTTCTGGGGTCTTCAGCTTTAAATTAGTGTCCTGTTTAGCAGAATCTACTGTCCTGGCTTGGTCCTCTTACATCTGACAGTGCTAAGAACAGAGGGGACACCTGGTTCCTGGCACGTCCACAGTAGAAGTGGCCAACCAGGGACCCAGAGAGAGGATGCTTTCCTACGTGGGTGTGATGCTTGGAAGCTCCAAGTGAYAAGCGATGAAGAAATCACCCCAAGTGACGGCCAGAATGTGAGCAAGCCACACAGGGCGGGGGGCACTGGGTGAAGGGCCCATCCTCAACCAGGGGAGAGAGACAGAAGCTGCACCCACCAGTTCTCACCTGGGCTCAGGGCTGGTAGGGACTGAGTCCTCCTGGGCCTAGCCCTGAGTCCCACCAGTGAACCACACAGGGGACATGGGCACTGTCCCTCATGATCTCCAGGCCAAGTCACTCACRCCTAGAAATGCTCCTGGCTGGAGGAGAATGAGGTCTGCTCCCACCCTGTGTCCCCCAAGCAAGAGAGGAAGGGGAATCAGGTTATCAGAGTGAGTTTATTGAGCCCTGAGAAGATGACAGGTGGTAGACAGGGCAGGTGGCACTAAGACAGGCGGGGCTTGTGGGAGACAGGAGGGAGAGGCAGGTCAGCATAGTGGACACAGGGAAGACTGTCCTAGGGGATGCCCAAGCACCTAACACTGCTCAGGAGCAGACTGGGGGAGCTGTGAGGGGACCAGGTGTGGGATGGGCCTGAGCCTGCTGGCCCTGGGGACATGGC